CTCCATGGCCTGTGCTCCAGCTCCTGCCTCCAGGTTCCTGCCCTGAGTTCCTTCCTTGGGCTCCCTGATGAACTGCGTGCGACCTGGGAGATGTAAGACAAATAAACCCTTTCCTCCCCAAGTTGGTACTGGTCTGAGTGTTTTGTCGCAGCAATGAAGAACAAACTAAGACACTTTCCTTTTGGATGTTTAAGGCCATTCAGTTGGCCCTGATAAACCAATTTATTTTTACTCTTAAGGTCGTTTGAGGAACTGTTTCTCAGGGGTCACGTGGGCTTGGGAGGAGCCCCTGGCTCCTTTTCTTTTACCAGTTCCGCCTATGTGAAAATAAGTCAAAGGTCCTGCTCGACCATAGTTGGCTTCGCTTGGAAGCATGGAGGAAGTGATTCCTCTGTGTTGACCCTCCTCTTTGTAGACTGGACACTGGTTCAAGTCCATCTGGTGGGGTCTCCTCAGCCTCCTTGATCAAGGGGACAGGTAACCCACCACCATTACAGGACATTTTGAGAGATGCTCATAGTCCCCTGGAACTAGTCGACCTAGGAAGGCAAGGAGCAAAAACTGTCCTTTATGTCCCTCTTACCAAATTAGTATAGGCCTCAAAGTATGCCTGTTAAACATCCAAGAAGGTTAGTTCCACCAGTCTGGTACTTTTAATATATGTCTAGGTAAGCTTTATCTGAGAACAACTGGTCTTTTCCCAAGACTGATCTACATGGCACACAGTAATTAAAAGCACAGTAATTATATAAGCATTTTTAGTGGCTATTCTACCCCAGACACAAATCCTTTCACACCTTTTTAGCATAGGTGTCCCTTAGACTCTCTTGCTTATTAAATGTGTTTGCCTCCCTCTTTGGCACAGAAAACATGCTCACTGTGAATAATAAGAAATTGAAATGTGTACTAACTAGAAATGCAAAGGTAATTCACCACGAGACTTAAGTTAGGAATCTTGTACTAGAAACAATAGAACTGTTTGTCAGTCTCTGTTCACCGAATTGTTCAGCTTTCCAGGGTAGTTTAGTTAATCTGAGGGAAGCATTGTATTACATCATCTCCTATTGGGCAGTTACTGTAATTGCCAAAGCCAGAATGAGGCTTAAAATCTGTCAGGTGGCAGGCAAAGCAAGAGTTCTTATGTGGTAAGGGAAATGATATTTTTTCCATAATGTGTTACACACACCCACACATACCAAAAAAAAAAAAAAAAATACAGGAGGAGGATGTGGCTATTTCTAGCCAATTCAAAATTTCAGGAGGGCCAATGATGTCTCAAATAAATAAATAAATTAGAACTGGGTGAGGTGGCTCAGTTGGTAGAGTGTTTTCTTAGCATCCACCAGGCCCTGGTTTGGAACCCCAGCATTCCATAACCTGGGAGTGGTGGTCCACACCCATCATCTAGCACTCAGGAAGTAGAGGCTAAGGATCAGAAGTTCAGGGTTATCCTCAATTACATACTGAGTTTGAGGCCAGCCTGGGCTACATGAGACCCTGCTTCAATAAAATCATGTTTTAAAATTTGTTTTATGATTTGCTGTTAATATTTTGCATTGAGGATTGATGCAAGTGGAAATGGTGCAGAAAGATTGTCCTAGAGGCTATTCATTTCAGTAACTGTAATTCCTTTCTCTGAAAAGGAAAAATCTCAGTATGCCAAAGGATGTTGCATTAGGTCCTTACCAGCTCCTGCCATGGAGAAGTGAGAGTTGCTACATAAACAATAAATAATCGATGATGCTGCCTTCTCTGCTAGAAACCAAGCAAAGGTGTTCAAGGATTGGACTGTCAAGTCAAAAGAATGACTTCTTCTCCAATGTACATACCTCTTCATTGCAATAAACAGCTCCCAGTGAATGCTTCTATCCCAAGTGTTTCTACAGCTTGGTGAGCAGTGGCCTCAGCACTGCGGAAATGACGCATGACACATCCTGTTCACATCCTGGCCACTGACAAAACAAAGGATGCCCCAATGGGAATTTCCTAAAGAGTAAATTAACAAAGAATAAGAATGTAACAATCAGATCCTTAAGGCCAAGATTTTCCATTTAACTAGAGCAACTATTAACACAACATTAAAAATACTTCTTTTCAAATAATAGAAGAAGCATTTGTATGAGGGGAGAAACTTTTTTTTTTTTTTTTTGGTCGTTTTGAGACAAGGTTTCCCTGTAGCCACAGCTGGCCTGGGTTTGCTAATAGAGACCAGGCTGGCCTTGAACTCACAGAGATCCGCCTGCCTCTCGAGTGCTGGTACTAAAGGCATGTGCCACCACACCGGGCTGGGAGAAACTATTTTTAAGGCATTAATGGAAAGGGTATGGGAAACTGTTGGTGGGAGTGAAAATAAATATATTAATATTCTATGATTACTATAGAAAATTGCTATACACTTTGGGGCTTAAAGTTTATTGTCTTACAGTTTTGTGGATCAGAAGTCTAACTCATCTCACTGGACCAAAATCAAGGTGCCAAGAGGGCTGTATCCCTTGTCTTTTTGTTTCCTTGCATTTCCAGCTTCTAAATGTTGCTAGTACTCCTTGCTCAAAGCTCCCTTCCTCTGATCTTCAAAGTCAGCAACATCCAATCAAGTCTCTCTCATGCTGCCATCTTTTTGGTTCTGTTTTTTCACTTTTAAGACTTTGGTGATCAAACTGGGACCACTCAGACTATTCAGGACAGTTTACTTATTTGAAGGTTAGTTGATTAACAACCCTATTTCCATGTGAAACCTGAGTCTCACCTTTATTATGTAAGACAACATATTTACAGTCTCAGAATGTGGACATCTTTGAGGACCATTATTCTGCCTATAATATAACTTCTCTAGAGAAAAATTTGATAATGTCTATCAAAAATTTTAATTTGGCTCAGCAATTCCACTGCTAGCAATTTATCCCTGGAATGTACATTCAAAAAGAAACCACAAAGATAAATACTGCATCATTAATAGTTTTTCTAAATTTTATTATTTATATTTTATGTGTATGTGTGTATTTCCTGCATGTAGGTACGTGTACCTGTGTCATGCAATGCCTGTGGAGGACAGAAGAGGCTGCCTGATCCCCTGGGACTGTTGTTACAGATAGTTGTTAGCTGCCATGTGTGTGCTGGGATTTGAACCCGGGTCTTCTGCAAGAACAACCAGTGTTCTTAACTGCTAAGCCATCTCTCCAGCCCCCATTAATAGTTTTAAAAATGGAAACCAAATGTTCATTAAGTAAAGTCAGATAAAATCTGATGGATATTAAACAGCATGAAAAAAGAAGCAGAACCGTGAGTACTAAGAGTAAATAATCTCAAAGGAAGAAGAGGAGGGGGAAAGGAGGAGGAGCGGGGAGGGAGAAAGGGGAGGGGAGGAGGGGTGGAGGAAGAGAGGAGGAGGAGGAAGGATAATAATCACACAAAAATGTCTATTATGCTGCTA